AACTGGGGGGGTTCCTGTAATTACCTCAAACAAACCCTCTTTCCGCAGAATTGCCTCTGCATACTGAACCCAGTCGCAGTAATTTTTCTTGTTGAGCTTAGGAATCCCACAAGCATCCTGAAGGGCCATCATGACTCTGGCATTAGCCTTCAGCGTCATATGCTGCTTTAAATCTTGCTGCGTCACTGCTGCAGCTGCCTTATTACAAAGGCACACTTAAAAGTTACTTTCGATTTCCCCAGCATAGTGACTTGTGCCTGGGAGCCTTTTGCCTATTCCCGGCAAAACCGGCTTTAAAAGTTCAAAGTCCAGCCATAAAGCCATTAACTTGAAGCTGGCAGGCTGCCCGGAGCAGTAGCACATACCTCATCAATCACTTCTACGCGCAGAGCAGATTCCGTTCCGATCTGTCCCTCTGCATTCCGATCCTTTGCCGGCACTCCGATTCGACTCCTGGGCCCATAACCACGTGTTGATTTAAGCAGAGTCTCTGGTGCCCAGCGGAAGGATGAGGCGTACGTGCTACATACTCTATATTGCTTTATTTACAGTTCAAAGCTGGTATATTACAGAAAGACATCTTGCCTCTGCCGGAGCAGAAAATGCATCCTCTCTCCTCAACAGCTCGGAGAGAATCACCCAGTGATTTCACACAGTGAAAAACAGGAAACCAGTGTACGTCACATCCAGTCTCCCTTTCCCGTGAGAAACTCCAACAGTACAGACTGTGGAATGTAAACACCTGTCTCGTGACAAGCAGAGCTGCACAGTGAAGGAAAGCAGAAACCAACAGCAAGCAGGGAGCCAGGGCGGGTCAGGAGCTCAGGCAGGAAAGCAGGACAGGGTTCAGGCAGGAACTAGCAATCAACAACGTTGCTCCCGCAACTTGGGACTGGGGCTGGCTGGCTTTTATCTGCCCCGAGGCATAGGGTGGCTCTGGTGACTCGCCTCTCCTGGCCTCAGGAGAGGCTGGAGGGTTACCAGACCCAGAGGCAACCTCAGCTTCCTCTGACGGGGCTGAGAGTGGAGCACCTGCAGGCAATGGGTCCTCCATCACCTCAGGAGCCAGAGCAGGCTCAGCTGATGTCTGCAACTGAGGATCCAGCACAGGTGAGGATCCTTCAGGCTCATGCCCCAGGCCTGGCTCAGCTGGTTCTGGAGGCAGGGAATCCTGTGCATGCTGGGATCCCTCAGGTTCAGCATCCGAGTCCAAATCCCAGGCCATCGCAGCAAGAGAGCATGTCCGCCAGCATGTTTTCCTGCTTGATTGCTGCTGCCACGCCGGGGATCGGGGTGGTGGGGGAGGCAGAGGACATTTTCCACTGCCGCTCCCTTTTAGAGTTGCCCGGGGGGGGGGGCGGGGCGCCGGAGGGATCTTTGTACCACGGCGCCGGATATGCTTAAGACGGCCCTGACTGGAAAGCTCTTCTGCTGACAAACGCTGGCTCCCTCGGCCTGAAAGCAGAGATGAGCGCCACTCCCCATAATCGAATTGAACTGGACTTAACCGTCCAGGGGTCCTTTCCCTTTCCCACCTCTGCCACTAAGTGTAGTGCAGTATAATGCAATTTTCTATATTCTTAACTATATATATATACACACATATGAAAGAAAATGAAGAAAATGGAGAAGTTTTTAAAATGTAGTGACAATGTAACAAAAACATGGTTAGGAGAAAGAAATAAAAGGAATCTCTGCAGAAGGAGAAATTGAAGCAAAATCTGAACCAGGATTTTCAACTCAAGAAGGCAGAAGCAAACCAAACTGTTCAGGTGAGATTTTTTCTAACTGTAAGTTCCTATCTTGGCAACCAATTTTGCCTGGCCTTCTTAATTTCTAAAATTTGGAGGCAGTTATCATGGGGGAATAATGAATCAATACCTTACCTGTGTATGGATGGTCAAATCTATTAATTTCAATTTCTCTCATTTTTCCAATTTGAAGTTCCATTCTCCACATTTCCATATCAGTCTTTTAAGAAGTCGTTCTGAAAATTCATCATGAAAATTTATCCCAATGTGCACGTTGGCATGGAATTTTGCCAAATATACACATTTATGCAATGCAATTCCCATTTTGTATTCTTGCTTGCTATGTTCAATAATAAATTTATTTGCATGCACACTTTACCCTAGTGTGCAAATTTGTGTGCACATTACCTGTCTGGAAAATTGCTTTGCAAAATTTGGAGAAATATGAAGGATGGCTGTGTTTTGTGGAAACTGGGAAGGTTTGCCTTTCAAAGCAGATCAAATTCTCTCTTATCCCTTGGAACAAGACGGAGATAGACTGAAATTGCAGAGTTTTGAAAAACTAAAAAACAAAGTGCGAGACTGGCTTCATTATTATCAGATAATGGAGGTATTTAAATTGGACAGGAAAATTGGCTTCCAGGTGGAAAGATCCAAATTAGAAACAGAATTGTTAGAACCCAAGACTAAGAATTTGTCAAGAATGTATAACTTGCTGCTGAAATGGAATACTCAAGATGAAACGGTAAAATTGGTTATGATTAAATGGGCACAGGACGTTGGACATAACATTATGTTTGCTGACTGGGAACAGTTATGGACCACAGGTATGAAATTTACGGCATGTAATGCCTTAAGAGAGAATATCATGAAAATGATATACAGGTGGTACATAACCCCAGTCAAGCTTGCGAAAATCTATCACTTGCCCGATAACAAATGTTGGAAATGTAAAGAAACTGAAGGTACATTTTTTCACCTTTGGCGGACGTGCCCAAAGAATAAGGCTTTCTGGGAAATGATATATAATGAATTAAAAAAGGTATTTAAGTATACCTTCTCCAAGAAACCAGAGGCCTTTCTCCTGGGCATAGTCGGCCAAATGGTGTTAAAAAAGGATAGAACTTTCTTTATGTATGCAACAACAGCAGCAAGAATAGTCATCGCAAAGTATTGGAAGACACAAGAACTTCCCACGCTGGAGGAATGGCAGATGAAACTTATGGACTATATGGAATTGGCGGAAATGACTGGTAGAATCCGTGACCAGGGAGAAGAGTCGATGGAGGAAGACTGGAAGAAATTCAAAGACTACCTTCAGAAACATTGCAAAATTAAGGAATGTTAAAGGGATGTTGGACTGAAAGTAAATGGTTTCCAGCTGCACAGGTTAAAGTTAATGATAGATTAAGATTAAAGATCAAGATTAAAGATGTTTAAAGAAATGGAAATTTGATATTAAAAGGGAAAATTTTAAAGTTATATGACATTAAGATCAAGGATTAGGTTTAAAAAAGTTGAAGTTATATATTTTAACCTTTTATTAAGTTAAAGATTGGGATTAAAAAGTGGAAAAGAAACTGCTGGACAAATAATGTAGATTGGAATACAAAAGAGGGAGGTATGAGGAAGTCTAGAAAATAAGTATTTTAAAATTAGAAATGGAAAAGAGAGTTTGTTTTTAATTGTTATGCTCTGTGTTTTTTACTGTTGAGTTTTGTACTGTTCTTTGTGTGTGTTGTTTTCTTTTTCTTTTGTTGTTTAAAACTTTAATAAAAAATTATAAAAAAAAACAAACAAAAACAAATTCTCTCTTATCCCTGTTCCTACCTTCATTTCCCTCCTTTTCTTGTCCCTTTGTTTTTTTTCTTTTATATTGCAACCCCTTTACAATCATTTTCTGTAAGCTCTCATTCAATGTAAAGCACCATGTGCATAAATGCTACTATGCAAGTAATAATTTGGTTCTTTTTTTCTTGCAGAGGGCAAAGAGGCCCAAGATTCACATTTAGTTATTTGTTTTCAGAACGTCATTACTGTTCCTCGACTTTCCAGTTGCAAGAGCAGCTGGACTCCCACTTGCAGAAGTTGGAAGAAGGCTAGCAACCGCTGAAAACTAATGAGATTGGTGAGCAGAAGAGAGAAGACACCTTTCTCCGACTTGTGATGTGTGTGGCCTAATGAGGCAAGGTTTTCAACTGGAAAACACTTTGTGTTCCACAGGGGATTTTTTTTTGTTTTGCTGCTAGTTCACTGCATTAAGAAATTTAAATGAGTGTCATGGATCATAAAATGGGTATTGAATTTCAGCGTGTGCAAGACTAGGAGACTCAAATCTACATTAGGTGACTGTAAAGATGGAGCACTGAATGCAGTGGCCAATTAATAGGTATGTCCAGTATACACAGAATTCGGCCGACCCCCCCCCATTAACTGAGGGGGATACCTTTGAAAAAATGACAACAAACAATGCATTGTCAAATTCTAGTATTTTAGTGTCTTGCATTGTTTTTAATAGTCATTTGGTCCTGGCGAGTATTAACCACTTTCAATTTTAACCTGAGGATTGTCGTTTGTTCAGTTTTAACTTCAATTTTAATTTATTTGAATTAATTTTGGGATGCATTTTAATTGATTGATTGCTTGGTTTTATGCATATTGTATTATTTATATAGTGTTAGCTGCTCTGAGTCCGGCTCCGGCCAGGGAGGGCAGGGTACAAATTAATAATAATAATAATAATAATTTCTCCTACATTCTCCTTCATTAAAGTCAGTGGAGGATGGTTCATTTGGCCTGTGAAGGCCTTCATTGATACCCATTAACAGGGCCAGTCTCTGAACTTACATTTTACAAGTGAGTCTCTAGACCTTTGAGAAAGGAAGCTATGAAACATAATGTGAAGGTGCCATCCTTAAGCAATTTCTGTTAAATGAGCCAGTCTGGCCACTCCCACTTGTAAGTGCTTATAGTCAATGAGTGAAGTCACAGCTGTGATTGATAAGTGAGTTGTTTGGACGCCAGACTATAGGAACCCCCAAGGATTCTAGCAGGGAGGGATTTATGATGGTGCAATTGGCTGAAGAAGTTTCCACAATCGTGGACAGGAGAATCTGATGCTAAACCTCTCTCTTTCCACCCCAGGAGAGGGTGATCTAATGCTTCCTGTGGACCCTGGAGATGCCCTCTGAGATACCATAGGATTTCAGGGTAAGCCTATAATCCCATCCTCACTTCTAAGTAGACATAGATAGCTCAGTTGGAAAAGCATGAGACTCTTAATCTCAGGGTTGTTCATTCGAGTCCCACGGTGGACAAAAAGTTCCTGCATTGCAGATGGTTGGCCTAGATAATTCATTGATACTATGATTATAGAATTGCACTGTAAATCCCATAGTACAGAAAATAATGAATTACCATATTTTTCGCTCTATAGGACGCACTTTTTCCCCTTAAAAAATGAAGGGGAAATGTGTGTGCGTCCTATGGAGCGAAGACGCCATAGCCCCGCGACCCTCTCCCGGCTGGAGAGGTGACGCACTGCTATGGCAGGAGCCTCTATAGCCGCGCGTCACCTCTCCAGCCGGGAGAGCGCGCGCGGGGCTAAAGAAGCCCCCCGCGACCCTCTCCCGGCTGGAGAGGTGACGCGCGGCTATGGCAGGAGCCTCTCCGCTGCGCCTTCCGCTGCCCTGACCTGCTCTTTGGGGCTGGTGGTGGGCTTCCCCACCAGCCCCAAAGAGCAGGTCGAAGGAACCTGAAGCCTGGAGAGCGAGGGGTCAGTGCACACCGACCCCTCTCGCTCTCCAGGCTTCCAAGGCAGCCGCCTGAACGCACCTTAAACGGCACCTTGTTTTAGAGCGGGAAAACAAGAGGGGGAAAGTTCTCCCCCTCTCTGTGCAGCGCCTCCTGCCGCTTCGCTGAAGGGGCGCTGGGCAGAGAGGGGGAGAATTTTTTTTTCTTGTTCTCCCCCCTCTAAAACAAAGTGCGTCCTATTGTCCGGTGCGTCCTATGGTGCAAAAAATACGGTAAATGTCATCTCCCTGTGCCTCTGCCCCTGGTGATACTTTGGGTTCGTTGCTGTTAATTGAAAATTTTGAAAATGAATGATGCCCATAAGAGGACAACTTCCTCCTCTCCTAAGATACCAAATGTAGACATGTTAGCAGAATGCAGCACATCCACTTAATTACATTGTCTCATCTCATTGTTTTATGGTGCGAGCATCACAAGTCAGCAGGAAAAGATGTGTTGTCTTTATCCAGTTGGCTCTGTCTTTACAACGCAAACAAGATAGGATTAAGAAATGTAAGTAAAACAGCGGAGGAAACCTTTTAATGAGCTTTCTGATTGTGTTGTGCTTTCCAAATTATGCACACGCCGTAGGGGTTTTATATATATCTAAATTATCTTGCTGCAGATAATGGAGGTGGTGTTCAGGAGTCCTGAGGTTTGTAACAGATGGCACTAAACTGAAACTGTGGATGGCACTCAAAACAAGGGGGGGAAACCCTTAAGATGGTATTGACAGGTGGTGCAGAGGTGAAAATGCATCCCTGTGGCTCAGTAAGAAAGAGAGCGGTGCAGTAATAGGCAGCTGCAGTATGGAAAAAGAGACCGAGAGGACAAGTTTAAAAGGAGCTATAACTAGCTTCTGAAGTGGGTGTCTGCTAGCTGATGTAAAAAAGGGCAAATCAATATGCTCGTTATCTCCTAGACTTCAGTACTCCTTTCCAGTTTTCTGCATTCTCCTGTGAAATCATTAACGAACAGCGTATTCTTGAAATTTTGTAGGGGCTGTATGTTTTGTTAACCTAACTGATCTTTCCTATGTAGCTTGAAATCGCTTAAGAACTAAGGTTTACATTCAGAACCTGGTTGTCACGGGAGCTCAGCTTAAACCGGAGCAGAGACATTTGAAATTCTGTTTTAAGTAAATATTAGCCTGTGTACATAAAGTAGGTTGCAGAAAGAACCACAGGACCACTAACAGTTCCTCATCACCTTTCGATGCCATTCTGTAAACAGTGCCTTCACCTCTGAGCTAACACTTAGTTAGTTTTCTGTTTTTTGCACTCACAGCTCAGTGTGAAATCTGGAATGTGACACACATTTGAGGTTCATGAGATATCTTTAGCTTATGTCTTTGAGAGTGAAAGAGGGTCATTGTGGTGTAACGCAAAGAGTTGTGTTCGGTTGGTGACATCTAGGGGCAGATCTACGCTCATGGTTTATAACGTTAAGGAAGCGTTAAGGAATGGTTTTCATAATGTAGATCGGGGTGCCCAAACTTTTTTCAGAGAGGGCCAGATTTGATGAAGTGAACATGCGTGAGGGCCGACCAAAGTTGTTGACCTTTTTTAAGGATTGAAGTTGTTGAGCTTTTTTCTTTTTTCACAATTTTACCCCAAAGTTGTTGAGCTTTGGGATAGAAGCTGCAACCTTGGTGTTATCAGCACTACCCTCTAACCAACTCAGCTATCCAGGTCCTCACTGGACCCTAAAAGAAACAATAATGCACAGAATTAAAACAGCACCATGTCTGTTTATAGCAACAAAATGCACAGATGAGAAAAACTGGCTATAGACACATTACATGAGAGGCAGACGTTGGCTTATGCACACAAAATAATTCTGTATGTTTCCAACTGCAAATTTCTCAGGAGGGGAGAAGAGAGAAATGAGTAGACATTTCCCCCATTTTCAGAAATACATACTGATAGAAACTCCATATTCAATTAAACATTTAGTGATATGAGGACATGAGTAGGTGTGGAACTCTAAAATATCCTGCGTAAGATGATTCCACCTCTAGTTTGAAGATGGACATAGGATGATGGAGGCTATAAGGAACAGAATTTGTGCCTTTCATGATCTGTGTCTCACTACCTGATTGGAATAACTGTGGCCACTGATTTATTTCTGGACAAATTAGCTGGTGATAGGGCCATTTTGGGTGGGTGGGTGGGAGAGAAAATAAACTTTGATGCTTGAGATGAAGTCACTTTAATAACTTGATCGCACAGCTTGATTGTTTGAACGTGTTTTGTGATATTTTAGGGACAATAGTTACACAACCACGATTTTAACTGTTGCTAATTTGCTGCATTTTGTTAACAGAGGCTCAGCTTTTCTTTGTCTCCATTCCTCCCAGGGCATTCGGCTTTTCACACACGTTCGTCAGCCGTTTTACTCCTCCACAAATACAAGACCCTCCTTGCTTTGTTAATGTCTCATTCACTCACACTCTGCCTACATCACTTTGCTGCCATTCAGCCTCTCCCCTGAGCTCCCTTCAATTCCCCCCACCAACACTCCCAATTATCTCTCTCTGCAACCCACACAGTATCCCCCACACCATCTTCTCCCAGTTTTTCGCTCCGGTTTCTCCATACCCCCCGCCCCCAGAATCCAACCTCAGGTGCAATTCTCTACCAGCCCCTCATAACTTCTCTTCGTCCCATAGATTTTGCCCCCCAATCCCGGTTTTTAAAAGAGTGAGTGAGCAGTCCTCGATTCTACTCCCACAGGCACCCTTCCTCCCCAACCATCCCTTTTTTCCTGCACTCCCCCCAGTCCACTTCCCAAAGGTTGCCACCTTTTCCTTGGCGCCTGCTCTGCACCCTTTTAACAGCACGAAATCCAGCAGGGTGCCATTCTCCCTATTCCTTCGATTGCTTACACCTCTTGCCAAGGGGGAGGGAAAGAAGGAGTGGCAACCCTGAACTTGCCTTGGATCCTTCACCCCCCAACCCCTCACTAAACACGCAGCTCTCACCTGCTTTAAAGTCTCTGTTCCTCTCCACGCCAACCTGCTCTGCCTCATATTTTGGTGTCAACCCACCTGCAAAAACCCCTCACGTCCAAGCTTGTAAAAAGGCAAGCAAGACCCATCACCACCATCGCCTGTGCGCTGCTCTTTAGGGTGAGCAAGTCTCTCACTTCCTGGCTCCTCCAGATGTTTCCCCCCCTTTAAAGTGATTGAAGGCTCTTTCTTTCTTTCTTTCTTTCTTTCTTTCTCTCTCTCTCTCTCTCTCTCTCTCTCTCCCCTCTCTCTCGGGCACCGCGCCCTCCTCCCGACCCTGCCGCACTTCCTCAGCAAGGAGAACCACAGAATTGTGGACTTCTGGGGTGGCGCCATCGGCAATGGCGGACTCCCTCTGAACTGGAGGGAGTAGCTCCGCGGGAAACGGGTCTTCTCCGCTACGGCGAAGCGGGGACCCTTTTAAAGATCACAGGCGGATGAAGCCTGTGACCATGGGACTCGGCGGGCACCTTTAGTGCCCCCCCAACTCGCTAAGGAACCCACTAACGGGCTCCGAAGTGAAGAGGGGGAAGTGGCGCGGTGCTGTGAGTCAACTGCTATTTCCGTGGAGCGAAGCCGCATAGCCGTTGCCGGAGAGCGCTGCCTTTTCCTGGGACAATTTGGACTCTAAAATAAGCACCCGTGAGTACTTAAACTTTGAACAACTGGACATTAGATGGGGACTTGCGAGCAGAAAGGAATTGGATCTTAAAAATCTATTTCAATTTGGTACAGAACGGGAAGGTCAAAACAGGAAGTCAGCCTTCCGTTCTTCTGTAGACAGAATAAAGCAAAGACAACGTAAACTAGAGCTCAGAAAATCGCTTTTAAAGGATTGGATTTCATCATTTAAAATTGTGGAACCCCCCTTCGACAGCAGGAGAAGAAGGGGGATCTTTTTGGACTGTTTAAAGTGAGTTTAAAGTAAAGCAACTTTCCTCCGTCCTGATCCTGGAGCGGGGTGTCAGGACTGACGTTTGAAGTTCATTGACCAGAGACAAACGTTTTTGACAGATAGCTAAAAGAAGAGAAACATAGTGATTCCACTGTTTCCCTTCGCATTTCAAAGGAACAAATATTGACAAAGTATCTCAAAAAGGGAAACTTTGTTGCAAGATCAAATAGAAGTTTTCCCCCAGAGGGAGACTGTGAAACTGTAACCAACTCCAGGGAGCCGGCAGCTGTTTACAGATTACAATCGTGGGAATAGGCATTTGACCTTGCAGGACAATGTATTCAGAAGCTTTGTTGTGTGCTTTCTACAAAACAAATGCCCTACTGGAACAGTTACATGAGAAGGTGAATTTGATGACGACTTCGACTAGAAATTTTGAACAGGCAGTGGGAAATTTTGAACAGACAGTGGGAAAATATGTGGAGCCCACCCAGGAATTAAATCAGGAGTGTGTCCTGACAGAACAGGCCCAACAGGAATATGAGTTTTCGGATTTGACAAATGAACTTGGAAAAAGCCAGATTTGGAAAGAAAAAGTTTGGCTTGGCTTGGAAATGGGG